TGGTTTATTTCCTCTTGATCTATGTATTGATGTATCCGGAAACTTGAAGAGATCAGAGATGAGCAGGCGATTCGGAGAAGAGAATATTTTCAACCACCATGTGAAAACAGAACCTGCGTGCTGACATTGAATACAGAAAAGCGGGTGTGCTGAGTTCGATCTTGCCGCAGAAGTGATCTTCTTGAGAATGGCAAAAAGGTTACATACGAATATATGAATTACCCGGCCCCGAGTCGAACGGGGTCGTTCTGCTCGGTCACAAATGAGAAAATTAGGTGGGGCAGATACACTCCGTGTGCTATCGGGTGCTTGGATTCCTACGCGGTTCTACCTCGTTTATTCTCGTAGCTCGAAAGGAGCGGGTGATGAGAAGAGAATGAATCTCAACCAAGCCTGGGTGAACGCACCTGTGGGCCCTGTATTGGGGTCAAAAAAGACGCGCATACTTCTGAAACTTGAAGGAGTGTCATTTTACAGTCAGATCGAGACTGCGATATTTAACTTCAGTTGCGAGTGGCAAAAAAGTCTTTCCCACGTTATCACCCGACCCCGAATCGAACGGGGGCCTTCTGCGTGCCAAAGACACTAAAGGACATACTGTAGGTACTTGTATGTAGGCAACGGGCCAACCCACCGTGACATCGGGAATGGGTTTGGGCAACGCAACCAACCTGATTTCCTCCGTGACGGTTGAAACTTTGGCAACCAGGAATTTCAACATGAACAAGTTTTCAGCTTTATATTTAATCTGAAGCTGCCTCTGTGCTTGGGATTCTCACAACGGTGCATTTTGGAGCATTATGAAGACCATTTAAGGGTTTTTTGACCGAGTTTTAACTGATTTTATATATATTTTGCGATGTCACGATCTTCAGCTAGGCAACCACCCTCACCGTGACCGTGACCTAGAGGGATTTGGGCAACGCAACAGACCCCATCGTGACCGTGACGGTTGCCTACATACAAGTACTTACAGTATCAAGTGGGGCAGACGCACGCCGCGTTGCTGGGCGGCAACGTCCCTCTGTTCGTGCATATTTGCTTCCGTCCCGGGAGGACATCAGTGAGTCAATTGCAACCAGCAAAAAAGATACATAGAAATGGGGAATCACCCGACTCCGAATCGAATGGGGAGCTTCTGCTCGAGGGGAATATTTCGAGGCTTTGCACGCCGTGTGCTACCGGGTGGTTGTATCCTTGATTCATTGACGTATCCAGAAAGGATGTCGATGAGTGGGCACAGGAAAAAGAAGAGAATACGTACGTTCCAACGCATCGAACCCGCGTGTTATCGTGAGCTGGTTGAATCTAGAAATTTCTGCACAGAACGTGCATACATACACCTTGTTGCCAGCGTGATTTTCTTGACTGAATCACAAAAAGCTTCTTGATCTGCAACCGATGCATTACCCGGCCCCGGGTCGAACGGGGACCCTCTGCTTAAGCAGTGCTGGATTGGGACTTTAAAGTGCGCAGATGCACGCCGTGTGCTACCGGGTGGTTGATTTCCTCCCAGTGAGGTTAGAAGAAGTCACCAGGACGCGCTTGAGTTGCTGCGTGTCCCACATTCATCACCGACCGCGCGCGCGCGGGGACCTCCTGCTCTAGGAAGACCTGTAGTAGACAGGTTGTGCAGATTCACACCGTGTGCTACCGGGTGGATGTGTCTATCGACTTGCAGGGTGGTTTGGGCTGGCAGGACCAGGACGACCATATGCATTTGGTGCTCTGCTGCATGTCTCTGTGGGCTGCGAGCGGAGGCGGCACGCTCAAACCGCGAACAAAGCGGTATTTGGGTGTTTTGGCAGAAGAGGCCCGTTGTGCACCAAGAAAGCGGCTGCCGCAACCCCCTGTGGCATAAGCGCGCGCAGCACACGAGCCGAGGACAACTGAAAAAAAAAAACGGGATTTGATCCGCGCCACCACAACACCGTCAAATGCCCTGCACCGCATCTACGAGCCTTCTACGAGCGTGCACTCATGCGCGAGAGCGAGTGTGCGTCTCTCCTTCCTTCTTGTTCCCCTACCGGCACGCTGGGGTACATCCTCGGCGTCAACTGTGCTCATGTTCTACGCTATTGTGTTGCCAATGTCGCCATCCTCATGTACGTTAGTCCTTCCCCTGCCTTGCGCGCACATGACCATCCGCACGTACGCTCCTGTCCTCATTAATACCTCCCCGTTTCCTCTCCTTGTTTGCCTCCCCTCTCCCAGACATCGGCGTTTCTGGTAGACACGTCTATCGCTTCCCGTTCGGGCTCCCTTCGCTGCCCTTCGCTGCCCTATCACTTTCCCGTTCCCCTGCATTTTTTTTTCCAATATGACGCTAACCCGTCTCACCAGCCTCTCCTACGCGTCCACTGTCGGCCGCCTCTACGCGCTGCCCACGCCCGCTCCCCACCGCGTGGGCGCTCGTGCCTGCGTTTATGTTCGCGCCTGGTGTGTGTTGTTCAGTTTGACCCACCGCCCCTACCCCCCTTCCTGTTTGCCCCCCGCCCCCTGTCTTCCAGCCTCTGCTCCCCCCTTGTCCGACTTTCTGCTCCTCCTCCCCCTGTCTCTCCCCACTTTCCCCCCTCCCCCCTGGCACTCTCTTTCTCATCCCTGTCCATCCTCAAATGCATGTGCACAAAATTACCTTAAACTTCCTTCCAAGACGGGCTGTGCTTGCCTATTCCCCATAGCATGCGATATATCGGCTTCTTAGTTATCACCTACATCTATCTTGCAGACCCTCGAACCGCAAATAAGCACCATGTACATGTCTTACATCGCCGATGCGCATCTGGTGAACGGTGGAGTACTTCGTGTACATATACAAATAATAAGGGCCAGCTATCCGAACGTGAGTGCACTTCAGTCGTTCGGGGCGACAACTTGAAGTTCAAGTTGAGAGATATTCTGGGGAAAACTGAGCCGCCGCTTAAGAAAAGTTAATCTCACCTCATTCGGTTGCCCAATCGGCCCGCCATTGAACTCCGGTGTGTTCATAGTGTACGCTCCAAGAACTCCGGTCGGTAAAACTCAGGATGCAACCAGAATTCAGTCAGCGTGTCGGAGCAGAAGAGTGTCCGAGCGAACACGTTAACGTTTGGAACCCCAAGCTAATTTTACATGGCTGACCTGGCACGAGTCCTAAGATCGTTTGTTTCATCGACCTGTGCAGTTTTTGGGGTCATGATCAACAAGAAATGGAAGCGACAGAACGCGCTTCCAACTTAATCGCAAGAATAACGAAGACAATCTATCATGAGATGCTTGATAGATATACAGTCAGATCAGCGCTGAGGCTGAGACTCAGTGGCCGGCGACGTGCTGATGATGGGAGCGAGATTGACCTTTTTGTTAAAAACAGGCGCTGACGGCTGCGGGAAATTGTATTGGGTGGTTCTCTGTGGGTCCACCTCATGGGCATTCTGATTCAAGATGTCCGCACGCCAGGTAATATGCTGTGCATGAACGACAACGAGCTGTTGGATGGCAGGGGTTGAGGTGGACAGAAGACTGATCCACTGAAGCCTGGATGCTCAACGGGAATCTTCAGTGTGCGCCATCTGTCCTGAGGTACTCTGTACAGCTTGTACGTCGTAAGGGCTGTAGCTTCGTACACAGTTCTTCGACTGAGTGAACCGACATAGAGCCTGCAGAAACATCCAAAATCCGGGCAAGATCCGCAGGGGCATAACGTGTCGCCGGATTCTAAATAGGCCGTCATAGACTCGCGACCAGTCCTTTACCACGCACTGATCACGAGGCAAAGAGATCAGTGCTAGCACAGGGCCTATGATTATGGCTTGGTAGGTCAGATACCAAAATTAGCCTGTCCTAAAGTTTTGTCCGGACTTTTGGCCACAGTGGGTCCAAAATTTCTGTCCGGACTCTGCTTCTGGCCAGAGGTCCGCAAAAATTTTGTACGGACTTTGCATCTGACCTATTTTTTGCTCTAAAAATTTCCCAGGGCAAAAAATCGCAAAAAAATTGAATTCACAAGCAATGCTTATTGAATATTATTTTGTTCTATTCTGAATTGTCTACAAAGCCCAGTTTGGCAGTGGCATACTTCACATCAACAAGATAGGCAAATTGAGTGGCACTCAAACAAGTGGGGAAATGGATGATCAGGCCAAAAATTTTGTCCGGACCCCAATCTGACCTGGGCCACCCAAGTTCCTTTGTCCGGACTGTGGATCTGAGGTTCTCTCATGGACCTCTCGATTTGTCCGGACTCCCACCTGATTTCAGTTGATTAATTTCAGATTTTGTCTGGACTTTGTACCCGACCTACCAAGCCATAATCATAGGCCCTGCTAGCACTTACACTTACAGTGACTAAATACAGCCCACGTGACATGGGTTCGAATTTCGATGCTCCTGTACATCAGCCGATAGGACGACTATACCGACACACCTCATAGCATAAACAACGCACCATCCGCGTCCATATTAACACCCTCGAACCGCGCAGCGGATCCGAGGATGAGTATTGCAATTGTTTTTCTGCACTGGCAGCCCAACACAAATTCGGCGCGTAGACCGCCAGGTGAAAAAGCACACAGACGTACCTGGTAATCCGCTCACATTGGCATTTCATTTGTGTTATCCCTGCGGAGGACCCCCGTTCGATTCGGGGCCGGGTATTGGGTCTTTACTGTTGCACTTTTTGTTCCGTCTGTAAGGCGTGGCGTCGGGGCCAAGCCAGTTAGCAGCGGCCCATATGAGCACCGAGGTTGAACACGCCAGCTGCAGATGCAGAAGTTCCCCGGACTACCTAATCCCGAGCCGCGCGCAGAGAGAAAACCGAGTGAACGAAACGCACAGCGCACCTGGTAGCAGAGGGAATGCATCCGCCTCGAATACAATATGTATGCCCATACCTTATCCTTGTTCCTAAGTACAAGCGTTTGGCTCCGAGTCGGCACCTGGTGGTTTATATAATGTCCCTTTTTGCAAATGTTTCCCCGGATCCAGTGCATGAAAGAAACCAATCGACAAAGCCGACGAAGCGCCTGGTGGCACAGCCGGTGGTGCGCTTGCGTCCCATTGATGCAGTGTGCCAACTGTGGCAGGAGACCCCGTTCGATCCGGGGCCAGGTGATGAGTGGAATGGATCTTCTTTTTCTTTTGCAACTTGCTCGCCCCATCTCAAAACTCCCACAAAGCACCTCTGATTTCATTTCCGCATGAGTGCAACCGATCGGGGGGCTAGCTGGTGATGGATTTATTATGCCCGCTACCTATATTCCGCTCTGCTAAAAAATCCTCCCCTTCCATCAAGCCCCCAGCCCCCCTTAATCCATTGTCTATCTACACGCCTCCCTCGACACCGGCGCCAGCTAGTTACTATCTTGTAATATGTAGAAGTGCCACATGGGCCCCCAGAGACCCACGCTCAATATAATGGAATTTAATGGTGATGTTCACCCTCATATTGTCAACCAATATATCACTTTGAGATGTTTCAAGAACGGGACCCGAGAATCACCTGGTAGCATAGTTGGTAATGCACCTGCTGTTAGTACTGCTATTCTCGATAACTTGTACAGGAGACCCTCGTTCGAACCGGGGCCGGGTGACTGAATTGATCTCAACCTCCTTTTTCAACAAAAAAACGTAGCAACTCCCGTGCGTCACCACCGCAATCAATCGTATAGGGAGGATCCCACCAGTCATTCATTCATTCTTTACAGGTATGTACTTATCTACGCCCCACCCGCACATCACACGGCGGCGTACGCTCCTTTTCCTTTTCCTTTTCCTCTTCCTTTTCCTTTTGCCCTACCATCCGCTCCCCCAGGATTCATTTTAGTTTCAGTGTCGCCCACCCCCACCCCATTCAGCGTACAATCATCCGCATGCGCCCAGGCGCGAAGGTATCAGTTGCGTGCGTGCGCACGTAAGTATAGCGTATTAAGGCGTCGTCGTCATCATCAAAGAAGGAAAGGCGGAGAAAAGGGTGGGTGGACGGAGGGGATGGGGAAAGAAAACGACCAAGGGTGGGTGGAGGACTATGGACGAGGCGACGCAAACGGAAAAATAGAGTGAAATGTGCATGGAATGTACGAATTGGGAATGGCGGAGAGGGAATAGAATGTGTAGAAGAAACCGTAACCGTAAAAGAAAACAGATATATGGAAAGATGCAGAGAATCTAGGTATGCGTGTGTGATGTGTTAATAGATGTGGGTGTAGGCGGGAGCATTAGGAGCGTGTGTTGTATTGTGTCGTGCGGAAGGCAGTGCAGTCGGAAGAACGAACATGGTGAAGGTGGAAGCGGCTACGCAGCCGCGCCCACCGCCCATCCCCACACACGGAAGAAGAGCATGAGCGCGCCGCCCGAGATGATCGGCAGCGTGAGGTTGTCGTCGAGCCCGCCGAGGTCTGTGAAGGGGGGTGTTAGTAGACGTGAGGGTGCGGAGAGGGAAACAGGAGAGAGAGGAAGAGGACGAGCAAGAAGGGAGAGGAAGTGCGAGAGGGTATGAAGAGGGGCAGGCGCCCAGCCTCACGAGGGCCCCCAACAAGAACACAAAATCCCCAAAACGCCAAGAAAATCCCCAAAACTCCCGCCGCCAAAAGAAAACAGAACCCCAAAACAAATAAAACAAACACTCACCCAACGCCTCCGCGACCCCACTTACCAGCCCCGCACACACCGCGAGCACCAGCAGCCCGCCCGCACCGCGCACACCATATCTTTCCGGCGTCGTCTGGCTTTCCGTCATCTCGCTCCCTCCTACTCCACTTGCACTTCCCCCCACTGCATCCCACACGTGCCCCACCCACCCCTGCACCCAACTCGGCACCCACCCCTCGGCGAATGCGGGTGGAGGCATAGGAGCCGACACGCGTGTCCCCGCGACGCTCCCCCAGAACACGAGCGCGACGAGCGCGCCGGTCGCGCACGCGGCGAGGAAGCCCGCGGTGCTCTTGCGCGGGGCGAACGGGAGCTTGAGGCGGCGGGTGGTGGGGGCGGTTGGGAGAGCTGGGGAGGACGTTAGTTAGTATGAGTGGAAGTACAAGAGGAAGGAGGGGAGAAGGGGTGGGTGTATGCGCGTCGGAGCCGGAAGGAGAGTGAAAAGAGAAAACGGAGGGAGGAGGGGAACCGGGGAGAGAGAGGATCAACGACGATGGGAGAGGTAAGGGGAAGAAGGGAGTAGGGGGAGTACGGGGTCAAGGGAGAAGGCGGGAAGAAGGGAAGGCAAGGGATAGCACGGTGTATGCGCGCCAAACGTACACATACGCTTTGGGATGGACGTGTGTGCACTCAAAGAGGGACGGTCAGGAATGAGAGTAGCAAAAAGTGGGACAAGTGAGGGAGGGAGGAAGTAGGAGCTAGAAGACAAGGTACGAGAGTACAGCAAAGGAACGGCGAGGACGGGGAGGTCGGGGACGGCGGGGCAGTAACACATGAAACCAAACAACACGCACCAGGCGCGAGCAAAAACGCAGGCACGGGCATCCACGCGGGGAGCGGGAGCGGGAGCGCGGCCGGCAGCGGGCGCGTACGCGGCCCATAGAGGCGGCCGACGGTGGACGCGGCGGTGTCTGCCCAGGAGAGGCTGGTGGTGGGGTCAGCGACGGATCGGGAAAGAACGAAGCGGAGCGGAAAAGGAGGAGACGAAGAACGGGAAAGCGAAGGCCCGCGTCTCCCTCCACTGCCCCCACGCGCAACAGCATGCACCTCAGCACAAGCCCGCTGCGAACAGCGCGTGCGCTGGGGTCGAAGACGCCAAGCTGCCACGCCCCGCAGCAGATGACGGGGTAGGGAGACGGGGGTCACGCGCAGCAGCATGCCCTTTAGTACGAGCCCGCTGCGCAAGGCGCGCGTGCTGGGGTCGAAGACGCCGTGCTGCCGCGCCCCGCAGTAGAAGATAGCGACGAGCACGCCGAGCAGGAGCTCGAACGGGAAGCGAAAAGAGGGGAGACGGATAGGTGGGGCGACGTGGACAGGGACGTAGCTAGCACGTAGTCGGAGGATAGCTACTTGTGGAAGAGTAGCGCGCGCCTGCCCACCGAATGGGGGGAAACGGAGGGAGGGTGGGACACAGCCCACGACGACGAGCAGCACACGATGAGGGCCAGGTGCAGCGGGAAGGACGCCGAGCAGGTGAGCGAAAAAAAAAAAAGGGAGACAAAGGGGGGAATGGGGATAGGGATGTACATAGAGGGCGTGGGCCAGTAGTACGCGCTTGCCGTAAGCGATGACGTCCGACATGGGAGGCGAAAAGGGGGAGGAGGAAGTGGTGGGGTGAGGTGCTCGTGTGCACACAAGACAGGGGTGGGGATAGGAGGGTAGAGGAAAGGAAGAACGCACATGAGGATGGCGACGGTGGCAACATCAATAGGGTAGAACGTGAGCGCAAAGTTGACGCCGAGGATGTACCACAGCGTGCCGTTCGTGCTGTGCTGCGGGGCCGTGAGTAGGGGAATAAGGGAAGAGGAGAGGAGAGACGCACGCGCTCGCTCTCGCGCATGAGGAAGCCCAATGCACGCTCGTAGACGCGCTCGACGGCGGGCACGCGGAGGCGCACAAAGTCCGTCGGCGCGATGACGGCGAGCGCGGACCACAGCACCAGCGTCACCGCCCTCGGCGAGATGCTCGGCGTCAGGTACAGCGACAGCGTGATGAAGCCTGTGCAGCATCGACATCAGATACTCGAGTCCATGTAGTGCAATGCCACCCACGCACCTATCGACGAATGGAACACCTTGCGCGGCACCTCCCAGTCGACCTTTTTCTTCTCCGCGGGGGGCTCCACGGCCGCGCGCTGCTTGCCCGCCCGCCGTGCATCCGCGAGCACACGCTCGACCTCCTCCTCGTCGTCCTCGTCGTCGTCCGCCTCGACGAGGTGCCCGAGGCCCTCGAGCGTGCGGATCACCTTGCGCGTGATGCCCTTCACGCCGGCGTCGCGGCTCGGCGACGCAGAGGCGCGGCGCGGCGGGGTGCGGGCGGCGGGCAACGTCTTTCTGCGCGGCATCGTGCGTGCGTGGAGCGGAGAGAGGTGAATCACTGAAGGGTATTTGGCGGTGTTGTGCTGACGCATTGCAGCCGAATTTCTTTTTTCTCTTCTCGGCTCGTGTGCCGCGCAGCGTACTGAGGGCCTCCAAAGGGCCAAAATGCCCAAATGCCGGTTTGTTGGCGATTTGAGCGTGCCGCCTCCGCCCGCAGCCTACGACATGCCCCTACATTGGCAGATCACCAAATACACTCAAGCTGGTCGACGTCCTGAGCCAAACCACCCCGCAATCCGATAGATCTATCCGCCCGGTTAGCACATGGCGTGCATCGGCACAACCTGGTCCCCTTCGCCTTCGTCAAGCGGAAAGCCCCCGTTCGACTCGGGGTCGGGTGATGACCTTGGATGCTGTTTTTTTACCACTCGCACTGAATTCAACTTGACCCAGAGCAGCGTGTCCTGTTCACTTCTGCGAACCTCAGGCTTGGAGGAAATCAACCACCCGGTAGCACACGGCGTGCATCTGCGCACCTTAACCTCCAGACTCCAGGTCCCCGTTCGATTCGGTGTCGGGTGATTCTTGTACTCCAGTCAGCTTTGTTGCGATTCACTCAAGAAAATCGCACTAGCAGCACATCCTTTGCAACTCTTTTTCTATCTAACCAACTCATGAATAACGCGCAGGTGCCGCTCAGCCAGGCTTGGCTGAGATTTATTCTCTTTCCTCACCCGCTCCTTTCTAGCCACGACAATAGATGAGGTAAAGCTGCGTAGGAATCTAACCCCCCGATGGCACACGGCGTGCGTCTGCCCCACCTAATTTTCTCATTTGTGACCGAGCAGAAGGACCCCGTTCGATTCGGGGTCGGGTGATATATGTTCCGCCTCAGTGTTTTCTCTCTTCTTTTTTTTTTTTTTGTACAATTGACTCACTGATCTCTTGTTCATCCTTATCACCGACAGCAGCGATCATGCACGAGCGGACCGCCCCGCAACGCGGCGTGCATCTGCACACCTTAACATCTTGTCTTGTTCGACTTGCTTGAGTAGAGTATCGAGCCGACTCCCGTTCGACTCGGGGTCGGCAGGCCTAGGGTGATAATATAACAAATACATTTCGTACCACTCGCGCTGAACCAAATCCCAGCAGCATTGATATTCAATTTAACGCACCTCATTCGTCCAGAATCAATCCAGCACACTCTTCAAGTTAACCCGCAAGTTCTGTGTTCGCTCGTGTCAGGCTTGGTTGAAAAGTATTCTCTGCTCATCTCCCGCTCTTTTTCTAGCCGCAATAAGTAATAAAATGAATAGAATTCGAACGCCCGGTAGCACACGGCGTGCATCTGCGTCGAAGTGACCTTTCTTGAGCAGAAGGTCCCGATTCGGGGTCGGGTGATCCACGTATTCTTCAGTCTTTTTACTATCCACTCAAGAAAATCGCACTAGCAGCAAGGTCAGGATCGTGTATGCACGTCCTTTGCAACGATTTTCTGTTCAACCTTCTCGTGGATAACAACACGCAGGTTCGGTTTGCGCAGGGTGGGTTGAAATTTATTCTCGTCCCGGTTTCCGTACCCTGCAGCCGCGCAGATATCATGCGAAAACTATGTAGCAGGA